TAAAATGGTCATTCAACTATTTAGTATGTTCTAAACTCGTGTTTTTCCATTAAAAATTCGACGGCAAACTAAGCTGGATGTTAACTTGATGATTGAGATATGATATAATCTAATCTCATATCTAAAAAAACTATCATATTTCAGTCAACATGTTAACATACATCTCAGATTGTTGTCAATTTTTTAACGAAAATGAGAAATATTGAACATACTAAACAGTCGAGTGACCATTTTGTAACTTTTAATATTTGGGAAACTCAACAAAACAACACCCCATAGTTAAAAAACTATTTTATAAATTTTAATAGTTAAGGAACTCAACAAAACATTAGGATACTAATATTTTTAAAACTAGTGTCCACTAAAAAATCTCAGCTCCAAACTCTATTACTAATTAACCTTGATATAAAATTCATTTTTTTAAAAAAAAATCTAAACAATTTAAGAGCACCGGAATAAAATACAGCATAGGTAATCGAACTATGTCAAGATAATCTATTTTAACCAACGAACTTTCATATGTTACAAAATAATCATTAAATTTATCAAACTGAAATCAAATGATTTCAACACATTATAAAATAGTAATAAATTTCGATAAATATAACAATTATTTTGACTATAATTCGATAAAATTTAATAACCAAATTATATTCATAATCATTATTTTATAACATTTGAAAATTATTTGATCAAAATGATTATTTTAACATAGTTTAAGCTCTATTGGTGTACTTTACCCAAATTTGATTTCTTAATATTTAGTCCACACCGCATCATGTATACATTTCAAGGGCAACAATGATATGATTTGAGAAAAAGAAAAAGATGTTTAGTTGCATGTCTGTGATTACAGTACATTCATATTTGAGGTTGAAAATCTATACTTTAAAGTTGTGACCTACATCATATTATTCTCATCTGACGACAGCTTGCATTAACAACAACCCAACTAAGTTAGTATTAATTGTTGACTAATTTATCATTATCAGAAGTAGTTAAAAAAATTAACAATTAGAAGATGGTTTTTGTCGGTGCATGAGAAAATACAAATACGAAAAAGCAAAAAACCCTCGAGAGAAGCCAATAAAATATTTAGATCAATAAGTGGAAGGAATGATTAATCATAGATTTATATGTATATAATAAACAAGAGGCTGCCTTCGTCGGACGTCAGCTGTTTAGGTTGTAAAAAAAACATAAAAAAGTGTTGGCACTGTGAATGTGAAGGTGGTTTGATTCTTCCAAAAATGATCGGTATAGCTGAGAACAAGGATTGGAGGGTCAAAATGAATAAGCTACGGAAATTAACAACTCATAAAAGTTAAAACGGACCGATTGTTCAATTCCCTAACACGCAGGAGATCAAAACAACAATTACTATGATGGTGTTAGGTGTTATTACGTTGGAACCACTTTCTCAATGTCATTAGCCTTCAACAAAACCAAACCATTCTTAAGTGGCATTTTACTACAAAAGCTAAACCTAAGCCATCAGCCTATTACTTTCGTACACCCTCTGTCAAAGCCTTTTCTTCCTTGTTGGTTCATCTATTAAGTTTTCTCCTTCTCCTCCACTTGTTGGGTTTGTCTATGTTTAGGGGAGACACGTGCTTTGTTCAGAATAAAAACATAAGACAGATGAAAAGACAACATTATATGATTAAATCAAAAAATAGAGATTTAACTTAAAGAATGCAAGTAAAAAAACCAAATGACCATAAAAGCTCGTCCCAAGATTTCAGAAAACAATGCCAAGTCAGACAAGGCATAAATAGTAATAACAGTTAGGGATGTATATAAAAAAAAGAAAGCATAGCAAGAGATTACGATTATGATTTAAAACATGCAATGTAATGAAAATCAATAGTTATAACAATGAAAAATGCAACGTAATGTCAATAATGATACTAAATATAAATCTGTACACACACACAGGCAGTGTCATTTCTCTCCATTAAGCCGATCCTTTGCACTTTCTTGGGCATACTAAAGGCTCCATTCCCCTCCTTAGCTTGAGAGTGTTCTCCAGACTCCAGTATGATAAGCAAATGGAGCAGGAACGTTTCCATTCACCCTGTCTTGGTCTTTTCTGCTGACTTCATCGGGTGAGCCCTGTTCCTTATTTCCATCGCTTTCAGAGCCTTCAGAATGTGTTTTTTTTCTTTTTGCTTCTGCCACGTATGATACATTTCTTTCAGTATGATCAGTGTCATTCCTATCCAATAAGCCGATCTTTAGCACTTTCTTGAGCCTACTAAAAATTTCATTCCCCTCCTTAACTTGAGAGGGTTCTCCAGTATGATAAGAAAATGGAGCAGCAACATTTCCATCCATCCTGACATGTTCTTTTCTGATGGCCTCATCAGGTGTCCCATGTCCCTTATTTCCATCACTTTCAGTCTTCAGAATGCAAATTTTTGAAACAAAAAGTAAATACTAGGTATGATTTTGAAACAAATGAAAGTTTAGATATTAAAACGAAATAAAACTAATAGCTAAGGTACTAAACGTATAGTTTACCCTAATATTTAATAGGATAAACTGCATGTGTTGTGCGGTACCTAAACTATTACATGTATTTCGTTTTGGTACCCAAACTTTATTTTTTTTAAATCATACCTAACATTCAATGTATGTTCCAATTTAGTATCCCACTGTTAAAAAATTAACAAAACTGCTAATATGACATTTTTTATTTTTTTCAATGACGATGTAGCATTACCTTATAGTGACACGTCAACATCACTGTTAAGTTTTTAACGGTGAGGTACCAAAATGAAATCTAAGCAAAACGTTAGGTGTGATTTTAAAAAATATAAAGCTTGGATATTAAAACAGAACAAATATAATAGTTTAAGTATTAATGTATAGTTTACTCTATTTAATAAAATATAAATTTGAGCTTGGTTTGAATTGATTTGGACAGTATTATCATTGAAAGACTAGCCCGCAAAGTCCTCGAGCCCAGGCCCGGCTCCCGCGCTTTTTCACTTCCCCCACCCCATAAAAAACTAATTTTGAATTGCGATTTTCGGACAGTGACTCAAAGCCATCACGTGCATTATGCTCGTAATATTAAAATTGGGTAAATTATAATTTTAGTATCTAAATTATCAGTTTTATTTCTTTTTAATACCTATATTTTTATTTATTTTAAAATCATACATAACTTTTACTTTTTGTTTTATTTTGATACATCCCTGTTAAAAACTTAACGAAACAGTCACAACATGATACTTTTTTATGAGTAAATTACGTTATTTATCATTCAACTATATTGTCACTCCTATTTTGATTATTGAAGTTTAATTTGTTAATTTAATTATTTAACTTTCAAATTACTCAAAATTTAATCACTCTAACTTTTAATTTTATTTTTTATTTTTAACTATATATTAATAAAATAATATAAAAAAGTTTCATGTCACAAAAATTATTAAAATAAATTAGAATGATTAAAACATGAGCAATTTGAAAGTTGAGTAGTTAAATTGAAAATTCTTAAACTTTAGAGACTAAAATAGGAGTGGGAAGATAGTTAAGTGGTAAATGATATGATTTACCCATAAAAATGCATGCAGCTCCTTTAGGTTTATAAGGGCGGGATACTAAAATGAAAAAAAAAGTACATGTTAGGTATGATTTTGAAACAAATAAAAGTTTAGGTATTAAAACAAAACAAAACAAATAGTTTAGGTACTAAACGTGTAGTTTACCTATTAAAATTTTAAAGCTTTCGAGTATTGTTTTAGTCCCTTTACTGTGATAGAACTATAATTTTACTTTAGTTAATTGAGCCTATTTAAGCTTCATTTGGGAATAACGCGATCTCATAGCATATCGTTTATAATGATGTATTTCTGCTACTTGTTTCAAAAAAAAAGTCTTAATCTTCTATGCAAGTGACGGCCAATACCTATCAGTGGCGAAGGAAGAAGATCTTTCATAGTAGTAATTAGAACCCATTATCATCCTGCTATCAAGATATGCTTGAAAACAGGTGAAGGATGAAAAGTATTCTTCCAAGGCGCGTCACCAGCAGCACGGAAGCATATCTTGATACTATTTCCCCTGTAATTATATATACACATTAATACTATTGCCTGAACATATGTCATTTGCTGTGATTTCCGTGCTTTTACCAGTAATAACATCGTGAACAAACATTTCAGGAATTCAGTTCTTGCGAACCAACAACTCCTGGTAGTCCAGATGACTTGTTCCTCGAAGATTTAAGTCCCTGTTTGACGCCTTATCATGCCAAGACCATATCCAAGTTAGATAACAGTCCTAAAATCATAAATGTCGCTATTCATATCCATTATGGGCAGGTAGAGATGTCTACACGGCATAACATGAATAACAGGTGCTTTAATGAACATATTGCAGAAATTTGATGAGATTCAGTACGACTCACTGCATAACGAAGCCAACTGTCGAAAAATGACAAGCATTCAATGAGCTTGGATTTAGTTCTCATAGCAAGAAGCTATCTAAAAGTGGAGATCGTTACAGGGTTTCTTATAAAGGAAGCTCCATGGCTTAGACAAATCGCAGATCAGACGAAAGCAAATATCATCATCATGAACCTTTGTTCATAGCTTGGTACGGTATGCCTCAGCTAAGCATTTGTTTTATTTGTTTAGTATGTTTGTCACTTATCATCCAGGTGTTAAATGTCATCAATCTTTAAGCTCGTTAATATTTTTCAAGTTAAATCCTTGGTGCAGATGCGTTACGGTTGTTGTGGGCTACTCCTGCTTACAATCAGGTGTCAATGAAATTTAATATTGGTAATTTTCGCTTAAATATTTATTGCGTAAAGCATTTCCATTATATATTTACCTGACTTGTCCCAGGCACATATCATATTAAGCTTCATGTAGCATTTGAAATCATTAATTTTCAATCTGTAAATCTATTTGTATCAGCTGAACTGAACACTTAAATTCATCCAAGTAAAAAGCTCATAATTCCTACATATATATAGCCGATGAGCTATACATTACATACTCCATTGATGAATCATCTCTTGAATGTGTTTCACCTAGTTTGCATTGCATTTGTTGATATTATTACATATATGACAAAGATGAAATTAAACAAGCCATAGGACTAAGCCTGTGAAACAATGCAGTAAAATCTACCACCCAGAGCTGCCTTTGGCTTTGTTTTTACCAAATAACCTAAATAGAGAGAAAGCAGAGATACAAGACAGGGCCACCGCGCACACACTAACTAGTAATGCCATTGCTATTCCTTCCCCAACTTGGTTGCAAAACTTGACGTACATGTTGCATATGTTCATCCATTGAAGCTCTGTTTGCCCAAACTTTGCAAACACCGCCGACTGTGCGGCAGCTCCCACGGCCGCCACGTTCAGGTATGCCATGGCCTGCATTTACATTGCAAATAAACATAATATGTGTTACTTTGGGTTGCTCCGAATGGGTTCCCAAAAGACTTTCATGTTTATTGAACATGTGTTTTTTTGGTGCCGCTGAAGAATCAACGCATCCTTGAAATTTTACCGATATCAACCCAAAAAGACAATACCTTCACCTTGAATTCTCTTATTATTGTTACCAAACGAGATGGAGAGATTTTTCATTTTTCAAGACACTATCACTGAGATATGAATTAAACTACACAAAGAAGTCACTAAACTATGCTCAAATGATTGTTTTGTTCATTGAACTTTCAAATGTCACAAAATGGTCATTGAATTGTTGCAAGTGACCATTTTTTATCTTTTAAAATTTCAGTGATCAAAACGATATTCAATGACCTATGGTGTAATTTACCTAAAATATAAAGGCTTGACAGCAAATATCAACAACCCTCAGCAACACATTAATTTCGACATTAACTGCTAAAGGCCTTCAATTTATTTCACCCGATTTGGTTTGTGCTCTTAAAATTGCCCATTTCAACATTGTTTCCTTTCCCCATCAACTAATCAAGCAAGGGAGAAATAAGGAACCTGATCTCCAGTGAAAATGGCCCAAGCCAAAGGCTTATGCACAAGCACTCTCCCTCTCACCATACCCACAACACAACGAACCACTTGTATCAGCGAATAAGCTGCAGATACCCCATTAGCCACCACCAAAAACCTATCAAAGCCGATCAAAAAACAAAATCAACTTAAAAAAATTGTGAATGTTAGGTTTTTTTTTCTCCACTGGGATGGGAGGGATATAGAGAGTTTCTCACACAAGAGCTTTCGTGTCTGTAAACCTAGCTTTCTTCCGAATCGTGAAGATTTCTTTGACTTGAGAGTCTGTTCCGATAAGAAGATCTGAGAGAACACTGAAGCCACATATCAAACACCTTATGACCAGCTCTGCAACTCGTACTCTTCTGTCGATTACCTTCAAATTAGTGCCGTGGTAAACGAGGGCGTTACCGGGACTGATCCCCACACCCAAATTATTCATTTTTGGCCCCTGAGCAAGGAAATAAGAAACAGAAACAGCCCTGAGAGAATCCGTTAAGCTAAAGGCATTTACAAAGCCTACGATATGAAAGACTTAACCAACCAGGCAACCACCCCCTCGTTGCATAAATAGTCGGGCTTGCGCCATAATAGTTGCAAAACTTTAAAAAAATAATTTCTATATTTTATATTATATATTTTTAAAATATATAAATCATAAAATACACTAAGGAAATGGAATTATTAAATTTCCTTTTAATTCAGCTTTTTTATTAGTGGTGGAGGTTTGCTGTACGAGTATGTGAGTGCCACGTGTTGCTAAGTAAGTATGCTATTGAGAGGTGGAGGCATAGACCACCTCGATTTGACTCTTTAGAGTGTGAGACATTAGTCATTCCTGAATTATAAGTACATGCGAGTAAAATTCAATTTGATAGGATAAAAAATTAGATTATTTAAAATCTTATATATTATTTAAATAATTTAGTTTAAATTTAAATTATTCAACTCTAATAATTTAATAGTTAATATATATAAGTTTATTTCATGTATTTTTTTTGAAAGAGAGTACTTTGTATTAGAGGAGATTACAAAGTACACCACCTCGAGGACCTCATTAAAAAACCTCTCTAAGCCTAAGTGGAGGAAAAAGAGTAACCTTGAGGCGGTTAAAATGAAATATTCTGGAAACAGTTGCATACAATCTATCCCCAGCCCAACTCATGGACAACAAACACGAACCACTACCATGGAAAATGAGAAAGACGTAGAATACACAGACCCTAAACCCAAGGAAAGATAGCGTTACAACTAGAAGACAAACCACAACAGCAACCGAAACAAGAGTGAAGCCAAGCACTGAGAATTAAAGACCTCACAAACTGAAATCGGATCAACAAAGCAGGAATATCAAGCAGCAATTGAACCGAAAAGCTAGCATTAGATCAACCCAAAAAGAAAGTAATTCGAATGCTCTCATACCTGGGCGAGTGTTCAACACTCTGGCTAAGAACTTTCAGAAATAACACAGTATCCACCACAGGACTTCAATTAACCGCAACCAAATATAATAGCATCCGGACAACGCACAAAATCTAGTACTTGAGGAACTAGTGTCGGCCATAAAACATTACCCCAAAAACCAACCTGCAATAATACCAAATTGAATAGCTGATCAACAATGAATGAAGCGCCATTGAATCTAGATTTATTTCTGCACAACCAAATCTGCCAAATTAAACCGAAAAAGCCAAGATGCCAAAGATTCCTCACTTTCCTTCTAATAAACTGTGACGACCACACCTGTAGAAGCTGTCTAACATCGATGGGGAAGATAATCCTAACTCTCCATAAGTAACACCACCTTTGCCACACTTGCCAAACAACACTACAATGGCAAAGCACATGGCTAACATCCTCCTGGTGCTCTTTGCAAAACAGGCAAAGAGGCTGAACGCTAGCATTAACCCCTCTCTTCATCAATTCAGACGCTACCGACAGTCTGCTATACATCGTTTTCCAAACAAAAGCAGCTACTTTGGGAGGTGCGAATTTGTTCCACACTTTATACCATAACGGATCTTGTAACTTACCGACCGATGCCAACTTAATGCAAAAATCTCTAGAATTATAGATGCCATTAGAAGCCCCTGACCACTTCAAACTATCTACCCCAGGAAACGTAGAAACTCCACTGTTAATAACTTGATTGAAACGATTCCAACTTGGAATTTCCCATGAGAACAACTCTCGCCTCAACTCGATGTTACAAGACCACAAACCATTCACCCAACTTCCGAACTCACTGATTTTGCCCTGTTTATTAGTGACCAACCCATATATTCTAGGGAAAGCTTCCTTCAAGGAACGAACACCAGTCCAGAAGTCAGACCAGAAGTCAATTCGAACACCATTCCCCATAACACACCGAACATCGAGTAGGAAATCTTCCTCATTTGATATCACCGAGCACACTATTTCTTTCCATAATCCATTTGAGGAACGAGCGGAAATTCCTTTTGGTAAAATCGCGAGAGGATCATAGTTATATTTAGCAACAATAATCTTTTTCCATAAGCTTTCGGTATCCTCACTAAAGCGCCAAATCCATTTGTTCAACAACGCACGATTCCTGACTTTAACATCAAAGAAACCCAAACCACCATGAGATTTCGGACCACAAACCATATCCCACTTAATCCAATGAATACCTCTATCAGCCTTAACATTCCACAGAAAACTCGATATACATTTATTAATCATATCTGCTATGGATTTTGGCATAGAAAATAACGACATGTAATACACCGGCAAGTTTACCAAGACGGACTTAATCAGTGTAATCCTACCCCCGAAAGAGAGTAAATTTCCTTTCCAACTTTGAAGACGGGATCTGACCTTCTCCACAATAGGTTGCCACATCATTTTGCGATTTTTCCTATAACCTAACGGCAGTCCCAAATACAATGTTGGCAGCCTAGCCGAATCACACCTCAACGAGATAGCTCATCCTTTAATTCTTTCATCTACCACATTAATACCAAATAATTTCGTCTTCTGCAGATTTAATTTCAGACCAGCTACGACCTCAAAGATTCTCAGAACACGAAACAAATTGAGGATCTTATCTTCATTTGCTTCCGAGAAAAGAATTAAATCATCAGCAAATTAGATGTGTGAAACACCTACATTACTTCTCCCAATATGCACACCTCGACACACATCGAGTGCGACTGCTTTCTTCAACAATCCACTGAGCGCTTCTCCAACCACATTAAACAAAAACGGTGATAGCGGGCAGCCTTGCCTAAGGCCCCTTTTAATTGAAAAATATTGCGATGGACACCCATTAACCAACACATCAATCTTAGGCATCGAAATACACAAGTGAATCCATTTCCTCCATCTCTTTCCAAACCCTATTTTCTTTAGAATAAAATTCATAAAATCCCAGTCTACTGTGTCGTAAGCTTTGCTAAAGTCTGCTTTAACCATAACCGCTTCGCTTTTATTTTTTTTTAACTCGTCTACGACCTCATTCGCTATCAAAGAGCAATCTAATATTTGTTTACCGGCTAAGAAAGCAAACTGATTCTCGCCAATCACTTCGTTAATACAAGCTGCCATTCTCTTCGCCAAAACACGCGCCACAATCTTATAAATACTCCCCACCAACGAGATAGGTCTGAAGTCCTCAGGATAGACAGCTTGTAATTTCTTCGGAATTAGAGTAATAAATGATTTATTGAAGGAGAAATCTGAAATTTTCCCCCAATAAAAATCATCCAAAAACTTCATAACATTAGATTTCACATACATCCAAAATTTCTTGAAGAAGTCCAAACTAAACCCATCCGGACCGGGCGCTCTAGAGCCATCCGAAGAAAGAATGGTGAACCAAACCTCCTCTTCCGAAAAGGCCTTTCGATCCATCTACTCGAAGAAGAATTGATCCTTTTAAACGGAATATCAAACTTCTTTAACGGAATAGTATTAACTTCGTTATAGCAAGAGCGAAAGTGATTGACGAAAGCATGTTGGATCCCTGATTGATTTTTGAAGACCGAATCATGCACCTTCAACTTCGAAATCTGATTCGTACGACCTCTAAGCACAGCAGTGAGGTGAAATTTTTTTGTATTTTTATCACCTTCCTTAAACCATTTTAGTCTCGACTTTTGCAACCACTCTCTTTCCGTCTTCCTATACTCCGCCCACAGCTTCGCCCTAACTGATATAATTTCAGCCTGAGTAGCCTTATCAGTTGGATTCACCAAACACAATTTTTCTAAAGAATCAATTTTTTTTTCATATTCCACAACCGGATCAGACTTTGAATTTCTTCTCGCTTCGACCCAATCCTTAGTCACCTTCTTGGTTAACAACAGAACATGACTCAAATCTTGCCCATGATTTGCGCCGATGACCATCCTTATTTTATCAGCAAGGGAAGGGTCGTCTGCCCAATGGCTGAACCATTTAAACGCCCTACAAGCCTTCTTCAGCTTCCCTTCACATAACAAGATAGGATTATGATCGGATAAGCCTATATGAAGCGTAGCTTGCACTAGTGTCGGACTTAAACACACAATGTCAGCCGAAATTAGAAATATGTCGAGCCTACTGGATGCTGTACTCAAACCTCCCTTGAACCATGTAAAAACGCTGCCCGAAATAGGAATATCAACCAAGTCCCACTTTGAAATGAAATCTTCGAAAACCAGCGTGGAACACGAAATGTTATGAACCCCTGTTCTTTCTAAGTCCGATCTGACAATATTAAAGTCCCCGCCCACAATAATCGGAACCTTCAGATTTTCTATAATGAGATTTAACTGATCAAAAAAACTCACTCTTTCGCCATGGGTATTCGGACCATAGACATTGATGATGCCTATTTCCAAGTTTAGATGCACAATCAGACCTTTCAACACTATAAATCTATTGTAAACATTACTGCAATGTACTTTAAAGAAATCTCTATCCCACAAAGAGATCAACCCCCCTGATGCACCTTCTGCCGGAGCACAAACCAACTCCGAAACAAACCTACCCTTTAACCTTCTCTCAACACCAACAGGTAAGTTCACAACTTTGGACTCCTGCAACAGCACCACCCTAGCTTTATTTGAATTAATAACCCGACTAACTGCTCTAATTTTCTCAGCCTTACCCAACCCTCTTACATTCCACGACAATACAGAAAGACCAAAATCCATAAGAACCTAAAAAACACACAGGAAATTCACACCCAAATAACTAAACTCGGATTCAAGACTCACCCGATTGACGACTGGACGCCAATCTCTGGAGGACCCTTTCCCTTGAAGCACCAAACTGCACGCCCAACGTATCTGCCACTGCTAAGCATGCCTCTGCTTCAATATCATTTCCAGAAGGTTGAACTAAAAACTCTTCAACTGTAGACCCAATCTGAATTTGAGAACTTCCAGAAATTTTCCTCTTCCTTCTACCCTTAACGATCTTCTTCTTTTTAAGGGATTGAGCACTAAAAAGAACCTGTCCACCTTTCTGCGAGATTGAATTTTTACTAGCACCCCTCGCTGCCTTACCCACAACAGACTTAAAAATTC